CGGCCATTTGCCACAGGCCACACGGTGAGCATTACTGGGACAGTCAGGATTGAAACACAGGAGTCTGTCTCCAAGGCCAAGGAGCTTAAACACTCCAACAGGCTTGGAGTCACAGACTGAACCTGGGGTCGCAAGCCGCTCCCACTCAGCTATTCTCAGTGGCTCGAGAATACTTTCCTCCAAGACAGCTACACAGAAGGCTGTGAGTCTGTTCATGCAGGCCTAGCATCAGAGGTGATACCACAGTAAAATACGGGTTTCCCTACAGGATGGCCTTTTACTTTAAAGCTTAAAGTTGAACTGGAGCCCTTTGGGTACTGGGACGGAGACTAAGTCATGGGTGTGTTCTTCCCTCCTGGGCCTGGCCTGAACACAGAAGAGAACTTCAGGGAAGAAACCTGTGAGAGATCTCAGTTGCCCAAAGCTGGCACACCCAGGCCTCTGCTCCTTTCATGTAACTCCCTTCTGACCTGCAGGAGACCAAGAGTATTTTGCTGGGAGGAGCCATGATCTGATCTGGTCAAAATAGGACACTAGGGTTCTGCTCGCAAGTCCATCTGGAGGCCTGGGGAACCGGTAACTCCCTATGGTGCCTCTGCAACTCTGTAACTCTAAAATGGTTCTAAAACTATACTTAAAATAACACACACAAATACATGAAGGTTGTAACATGAGAAAGTGGAGGTCGGGAGGCAGAGAGAAAATCTGAAGTAGAATAAGATGCAGGGCTGGAGAGAGGGCTCAGTGGTTAAGAACACTGGCTGCTTTTCTACAGGATCAGGGTTCAGATACCATGGTGGCTCACAACAGGCTCTAACTCCCTCTTCTGGCCTCCTCAGGTGCCAGGTAAGCAAACAGTGCACAGACATATGTGCAGACAAAACATCATACACATAAAATAAAAGTAAATTTTGAAAATTAGTGGGAAGCAAATGTTAGCACTCCTCAACAGCAGAGAAAAAATAAGGTTCAGGCAAAGGTCTCAAGAGGTCCAAGAGTGGGAGACTGTGGGAGAATTAGCCTCTATAAAAACTGGAGAAGGGGTGTGCTGGAACCATACTGAGATTCCAGACTCTTCTCTCCCACATCCTTGTTCCCTTCACTCCCCTCTCACCTGGTCAACCCCAATACAAGTCCACTGTACAGATCAATGGTCAATACCTAAAATAGGGTTACTGTGAGCCACGCCCACCTCCCCTCCCAGCCTGTGACATGAATGGGAGTAGATTGCATGTTGGGAAGTCCTGTGCAGACACAGGCGAGGAAACATGATACTGTATCATCAGAGATGCATTCTGACACTCAGGCAGCCTCCCTGAATCACTTAGCCTGGCCTTTTCTCTGGGCATTTGCAGCCAGCTTCTGGTATAATCTGAATTTCAGTATCCCTCATGGGTTTGTTACCTATGCTGGGTCCCCAGCTTATAGAGCAGTTCTAAAGGCTGAGGAGCCTTTAAGGAGGTGGGGCCGAGGCCATGGGAGCAGGTCACTGCAGTGGGTGACTCTCACCTGCTGACTCTGCTTCCCCCTCTCCCCATCATGAGAAGTCACTACCTCATGCACCCACCGCCATGCCTCGCCACCGTGGAAGAAAATGAAGTCTCTCAGAAACCGTGAGACAAAACAAACCTCTCCCCTCTTGAATAGCTTCTGTTGAAATTTTGCCATAGACACAGAAGTAACTAGCATGGCCTTAGCATGGCTCCGCTGTGAAGACTCCATGGGTTCCTCCCACTGGCATACAAGCCCACGCAGGACCCTCCACCTCACAGGGCTGCCCTGTGTGGCAGGGGATAGTGCACATGGGTGGCAGTGTGAGACTTCTAAGCCTGGAATGGAAAAGACATGGTGTTCCTGTCTCCATGCTCTTGAATCATTCCCAGGAAGCCAGTACCACATGAGAATGCTCAAGTGCCCTTAGCAGGAGACCACAAAGCTGAAGAGAGGCTTTTATCTGCAGCCAGCCCCACTGATAGCCCCAAAAGAGAGCCCCTGAGAGAGGTCCCTCAAACCCCATTAGGCCTTCAGAAGATTGCTGCTAAGTCTGCGGGTATAGGTCTGTCATCTTAGCTACTTTATAAGCTAAGGCATCAGGATGGTAAGAATATGGCTAGCCTGGGCTATAGCAGAGGTTAAGGTCTGCCTTAGTAAGACCCTATCTCGGAGAAAAGCAACAAGAGACTCACGAGCTTGCTTAGCATAGCTGAGGTCCTGAGTTCACTCTCTAACATGGGTGGATTGTAGGGGTGGAGACAGTGTTGCCTGCCTTGCTTTGCCTGGCTAGATCTGGCCAGCCAAGCCCTTCTCCAACTCCAGAGCCTCAGCGACAGTGAGCAACACAAATGGCTATCGTTGCTTTGATCTTCTAAATTTAGGGAATTCTGTTACATTATATATTGCTACGTACCCATACTCCAACCCCATCCCAGCACAGGTACATACTATTGGAGCATTCTGGAAGGCAGAATCAAGAACCAGCAAGAAAATTTCCCAATGGAGGGAAGGGAGAAAACTGGAAAAAGACACAAAACAAAGGAAAATCTCCCACAGTGCTTTCAAGGAACCTTCTCCCACACTTCCTCTACTCAGTAAACGAAGCCATATGTCCCCAGTCGCTCTGGCCAAAGACCTATGAGTCAGTGATTCTCTCTCACACCCAACATCCCACCCACCGGCAAAGCTCAAGACTTTGAAACACACCCCAGTCGGCCCCTTCCTCACTACTGCCCCATGATTCTGAGTGCCGCACCACCAGCCAACTCGCTGGGTACTCTTGGGAAGATGCCACTAGCAGCTTCTGGCCCTGTCCTTGCCTGGAGGCAACACAGACTCTCATCCTGGCAGCCCCGTCCTGTTTCTAGTGCCCTAAACTCTCCAGCTTACCCTCCTTCCTTCAAGCTCGCCTCACCTCAGGGCCTTTGCTTGGCTTTTCTCCTTCACAGCACCAGGAACATCCTCTGGGTCTCCCGTCCCATAACACCTCCTCCAAGCACTCATGCTAGGCTAATCCTGCCTAGCCTGCTTACCAGCTGCCTTAGAGCAGGTCCTGTACATGGAGAGGGCTGGCCAGCTGCTTGATGGCTCCCCTAGAAGCGGAGGGGGGAGGGGATGACCACCAAGCTGATCTAGCTACAAGCCCACAGCACAGAACTCAGCTTCCCAGCTGGAGAAGAAACAGCCTGCAGTGAGAGCTGTGGTTTGGGTAGAGTCTTGCTAGCTGGGTGGAGTACACCCACCAGGAGGTTCCACTTCCTATAGGGGGAAATCCGATGAAAAGCTCCGTCTGTATGGAGGTGCCCTGCCCTACCCCTCCCCTTCAACTTGGCCTCCTTGGCTAAGCAGCACAGAACTATATAGCCTGGAGTACCTGCACCCCCAGCACAGGGGAGACCCGTCCATCAGGCAGGCTGATGCACCTAAAAGTCATCTTTGGTATCCTTCTGAAACAGGGGACCACTGTCTGTCACGTCTTTCTGAGCCACCTATTCCAACTAACTTTTCACTGACAGTGAACTCATCACCTGATCTTCTTAACAGTCTCCTGCTGCTACTAGGAGGCAGAAAGCAAAAGAGGAACATTTAAAAAAAAAAAAAAGGCCATCGATACGGACAGAAAACAATGGGCCAATGGTCAGGGGAGGACAAAAGGCCATGGCAGAGGAACTACACCTATACTTTTTGGTGCCTTGGTTCCTCCAATTTAAAGCAACGTGACCTTCCACCCTGTGGGATTACAAGATTCAGATCTGATAGCGTGTGTAGTGCGTGTGCTCATAAGGCTTAGGCCCAGAGAGCACAAATGTTCACTGTCACTGAGAAACACTGATATGGGAAAGGGCTGCGCGGGGCAAGGAGAGGAGCAAGCAGTTTGGTAGTTTCTGGGGTTAAAGATGGAGAACTCTGCCCCAGATGAGAACACGTTGCCTCCCCCACCCCCAAAGATAAAGCTGACCCAGCCAGGGAAGCCAGATAGCTGGTGTCCCTGCTGCAAGCCACAGGCCCTTTGCAGTCCAGAATTTATAGTATGCGGCTCTTCCAGGAGTCCTTGGGGGCATAGTCAGGATCTCACAGAAGGGAGCAGACCACTCCCAGACCTGAGGTTCCATCAACAGCCCCTTCTCCTCTGAATCAGGCCTGTTCCTCAGTAGTGGGTTGGTTGTTTGTTGTTTGATTGATTGGTTGATGATCAATCGATTGATTGATTGATTTTTGAGCACTTCTGTTGCATGGGCACTTAGGACTCACAGCCTGAGCTCACTTAACATTCAAAACGTTTTGAGAGGTGGGCATCTTAACCCCATGCCCTTGGGGTGGATCAGGTTCAGTTAGAACTGTGACATACCTACCACCTCCCAACTAATAAAAAGGTAAAGCCGGAGGGTAAAAGCGGACCCTGCACCGAACTCCCTGCTCTGTGGCTTCCTTCTCACCTGGGCTCCTGCCAGAGGGGCAGGTGAAGTGACAGAAAGGGGGCGGCCTGGAGCCTGAGCAGACACGGGGGAAGAGTAGCGAGAGAAGTACTAATCAGTCGCGAACCCGGTGAAAGCTGAGCCACCTGCCAGCAGCTACCTTCCAAATTCATGACACCCTCATCACCCCATACCCCCATTACTCCACAAAGCTGACCCACCACCTCCTACCCAGACCTGAAAGGACGTGTTTGAACAATCAGAGCAATCACTCCTGTCTTCTCGCCTCAGTTTCCCTCTACTGCATGATCTGCCAGGAAACACTGGAGAAACTAAGCTCGGAAATGGGGAGCGGGGGCGCGGATTGGCCCACGAAGAATGGGTAGTACCTTGTCAGACAACTCCACGGCCCCGCCCCCACTCTCTGTATTGCAGAGGCTACCCCGGGCTGGCCGAATGGGGCCGCGCAGGGCAGTACACAGCCAGCATGACCAGGATCCCCAGAACCTCCGTGGCCTTGGCCTTCACCTTGACCCATGCCCCACACTTTGCATAAACAAAGAGCAGCCGCCCCGCCCCACCCCGCCCCCTACCAGCTCCCCGCTGCCCCTTACCTTGGCCTGGCATTTCCGATGACAGGAGAAGCTGCAGACTGCGGGAGCGAGACAGAAAGAAAGTTTTAGCCGCGAGGTATGAAATGGAAACTCAGGCGCAATCTCCTCCCACCCCAGCCCTCCACGCCCGGCAGGGGGAGGGGGGACCAAGGAGAGGGGCGGAGGGACTGAGGGGAGGCAGAACGGGGAGCCCGGGTGCGAACCCCCGAGGGCGTCCGCTGGAGTCCCGCCAGGCCGAGGTGGTGGGGACCCAGGCCCAGTGCCAGCGGCACAGAGGAGCAAGGGGGCCTCTCTCCTCACACCCAACTACAGGCAGGCCTCTCACACGTGCACTCCCCTAGGCCAGAGGCCCGGGCACACCCGCAGGCACACACAGCACTCAGGACTCTCCACACCACATAATCACACACACACACACACACACACACACACACACACACTCGTGCTACAGCGACCCTGGGATCTGTGGCACAGAACAAACACACACACACATACATACACACACACACACACACACACAAAGTTCCTGCCTACATGTGAGTGTGCGCACACACATGCACACACACTTGGAGAACTTGCTCTCCCTCCCACTACCAGAAGCTGGAATCAAATTTCCTATCAGGTTCCCCGAAGCCAGGAATGTCCCCTGTTCTGCGGCCCCACCCCCCAGGGCACTTGGCACTTCTAGAAAGTTCCAGGAGCCCTTCCCAGGGGTGCTTGAGGGCCTCTGACCTGGGTTCTGAGTTGATTTGGGTCTGCTGGGACAGGAGAGTCTGGCCACTGGTTAGAGAAAGAGGGAAGCAGGCGGCAGAGGTGCACCCTAAATCAACTCTCAGCTGCCCCGCCAGTCTGTCCACCCTACTCACCCCTACCAGCTTCAGCCACCAGCTTTTGGCAGAGTCCTGGCTGGAGGCTGAGGTTCAGATGTCCCACTGCAGTCACAGAGTTCCCCACACCCAGCCTGGCCAGCAAGGTGGAGCCTGGGATGTCACCTTGACCACTGGCACCCTGTCCTGGCCCAGTTCAGGCCGTGTGACTCAAGCTGAGCTGAGCAAGGCTGTACTGACCCGGCCAGCCCAGCTCAGGCCCATCACCCTTGGCCTATGACATATCCCACCATGTCATCACCATCCAGCTAACATCTGCCTTCTCCTGATTCCCTAAGCCTGTATCCCCACTCTAGGTGACAGCTCCCTCCCTTCCAGAAGGTGTTCCCCTCACATGAGCACCCTCCCCACCTCACCCCCATGCCTTCCTTGGGACAGGGACTTTAGGACTGAGAAAACCTCAGTTCAATTGGCCTGAGCCTAGGAGACACCCCTCCCCCCTTGCTGGCCGAGACTACAAATGGATACCCTCATCTGTACCTGGTACACTGTAAAGGCTTAATAGGTGTCCCCTAAGTTGGACCTAGCTGAAAGTCTCCCCATGACTGTGTGGCCCCTGTCATTTAATCACCTCCCACATTCAGCCATCCCCTGCACCGCAAGCCCCCTACCACAGCTCATGTTCAACCAACAGCTCCTTCAGCCCACTGGGCCTCTCAACCCCCAATCTAGACACTAGGGGCATAGTGGGGGACCAGGACTCTGTCTTCCTCCAGTGTTTTCCACATTTCTGACATTCCCAGGATGCAGCAAGCTCTCTTCTCCCTGGGGGCCTTTGTTTATGCTGTTCTGGCAGCCTGGGACTCTCTCTGTCATCCCCAGTCCTTAGCGAGTCAAATCCCCCTCAGCTGGTAGGATCCACTCAAGGCTGCCTCCTTATAAAGGCCTTTCCTGACTGCCCACATTACCGTGGGCCTAAGTTAGTCCTTTCAAGACCCCTATTGTCACCTCGTCTGACCAGTTCACAATCTGAAGTCTCCCTAGGCAGCTTCCAGCTGAGCTGTCTGCCTGAACTAAACAATTGAGCACAGGGAGCTTGCCCATCTCACTAAACCTGTATCCTCTGCAGCTAGGACAGTATCTGCTTCAGACTCTGGACCACACAGTGTCACAAGGCCCAGGCAGACCAGCTTGTGATCCAGAACCGAGCATGGATGCACCCGTGATCCAGAACCAGGCATGGGTGTGCCCGTGATCCAGAACCAGGCATGGGTGTTTTTCTGGCTTTGCGATAGAAGGACAGCCTTTTTCCAGGCAGTTCTCAGGATGGTGACTTGATGAGCACAGCCTGGGGCAATGCCAGCGCTCACCTTGGTAGGTGCCCTTAACAGTGCCCTGCTGTAGGACCATAGGAGCCTCTCAGTGGACAGACACTCAGCAAGTGTCCCCAAGTGGAGGCACACAGGCAATGGCAGTCCAGAACTCCCTGCATGGTGAACGTAGAGCTGTATGAGAAAATGTCCCCACCCCACTTCAGGGGCACCTCAGCACACAGGGCCAGGACCCCAAGTATGGTGCTCCACCTCAGAGCACCTGTCCCCAGTCCCCCTGAGCCTCCATCACATTCTTAGCCACCTGTCTCTGGTCTCCTTCAGGGACAGTGATTCTGCTGCCTTCCTTGACTCTCTCCTGATGTCATTCAAGGACTGGCCAAACCATCCTGCTGGCCTCTCCAAGACCAATGAAAGAAACATTTAGGATGGTACAGTAAGGAAGAGTGGCAGCCAGCTGTAAGGGGGTCTCCGCCCTCTGCGAACACACACACACACACACACACACACACACACACACACACACTACACTACACTGATGGGGCTGCTTTGGGTAATCTTTTTATTATTAATTATTTATTCTATATGCATCAGTGTCTTATCTTCTTCAAGTGTATTTCTGAGCAATCACTGGTGCCTGCAGAAGCAAGAAGAGGGAATCAGATCCCCTGGAACTGGAGTTAGAAATCACTGGGCGCTGCCATGTGGGTGCTGAGAATTCAACTTGGGTCCTCTGGAGAGCAACCAGTGCTCTTAACTGGCTGAGCCATCTATCCAGCCCTGGTTTGGGTAATCTTGACTTCTACCACCATCAGGTCTGGCTGTTCATCAGGCTTATGGAGAAAAGCTGATCCATAAGAGCTGAGCCTTGAGCTGGTTAACCTCTATTGATAACTTCATTTAATGGGGAAGTACCTGGGAGGTCGATCAAGAATGCCCCTGGGTCTGTCTGTTCTCCCAGAGAGGAAGGCAAGAACGCAGGTATTGCATCCCACGGGGAGCAGATGGAATACAAGTGAGAAAAAGAAAAGACAGACATCACAGGCTGGCTTTCTCCCCCACCTGAATCACTTCCTGGCTAGCAGGAGCAGGAACTGCACGCCCCACAACACAATGGAGTAACACCTTTGAAACCGTGAGCAAAGTGAGTGTTTCTTCCTGGTGCCTGTGGCTCGGGTTATCTGATGCAGGAATAAAGGTACAAGAAACCAGCCTAAGGTGGAAGTTAGGTCCCTGAGTGGAATACGGGGACCCCTGCCCAGTCTTGATTCTCTCTCTGTTTCCTGACTGCAGCGAGGTGAGCAGGCCTGTGCACAAACTGTGAAGTACTGGGCCACCACAGGCTGAAGCAGTCACTGACTAGAGCTGAGACATAATTAGCTTTGCTGCCTTCAAGTTGGTCGTCTTTAAGTATTCTGTCAGGAATGGAACTCTAACAAGACAGAATCATGTAGAATTGGCGGTGTGTGTGTGTGTGAATTTTGGGGAAAGCTAGGCAAGGCATTGTGACCAGTCTTGCCCTAGTTGAGGAAACCAGTTACCCTGTCTTGAGCACACTCCAGCAGCCAGCTTACTATAGCCCCCACCAGATCCAGCTGCCATCCTGACTCAGCCTCCAGTGACCCCCAAAATTAGAAGCATCCCATGCTAACATTCCTGCTGCACAAGCTGAAGAAAACCCTCTTTCAAACAGTTAGGTTTGGCAGACATATTCACACAGCAGTAGATAAACAGTATGGAAATCAAAGCACTGGGCCCCTCAGAATGTGAAGCCAGGTCCGTGCTGGCTGATGGGGAGCACTCAGTGACCCTCCCTGGGCCCCGTTGCTCCTACCCCTTTCCATTCTTCTCTAACTCCTTCCCTTTTGCCACCCTGCTGGGCATTTGATCCTCATGTTCCACAAAATAGCGAGGCTGGGAATCCCCAGCCCTCGCCCCCAGCTCCCACTATGCACCAGTTCACACCAGTTACCTTCCCACAGGCTGGCTCTCACCTCCAGCCCTTACGTCCATCAATCCACAGATGATAGCCAAGAGCTGACAGATCACACCACATTCTCAACTAGAATCAACTCCTCCCTGCAGCCTGCTCCAGCTTCTACCCCCAGTCCGTACCCCGAAAGGGTCTGGTCCTGCCATGCCAACCTCCCCAGATGTCATTCATTCAGAGATGGTTGTCCCTTCCCTTACAGAGTCACCACACACATACACACACACGCACACACACACACACACACACAAACACACACACCCTGCTTCCCTGCATCAGAAAGGAGGTTCTGCGGTTCTGCTCAATCGCCATTTTGTGTCCACCACACAGATGGGCTCAGTAAACACGTGCAAGCTTCCAGGTAGAACTGTCCTCAGATAAAGCCCGTGGAACAAAGCTGGCATTTTGGGGGCCACAGAGCAGGTACAGTGGGAGGGGTGAGCCTACTTTAGGGACCGTGGGAGCTGGTCAGTGACCACACCATGTTGCAGTTGTGGCAGCAATTAAACTAACTCTCTCTCTCTCTGTCTCTCTCTCTCTGTGTGTCTCTCTTTCTCTCTCTCTCTCTCTCTCTCTCTCTCTCACACACACACACACACACACACACACACACACACACGCACGCACGCAGCTGTACCTGTTCTCTCCACATCAGAGCCTAAGCTGCAGGGAGCACAGATGTCGCTGTGTGATTTGGGGAAGTTACCAAGCCACTCTGAGCTTCCTTCGTCTGTAAAATGGAGTCAATGATATCATGTGTGTCACAAGGCAGGATTAAATGATTGTCACCGTGCAGCTCAGAGCCCTGTGCTGTGGCCCCTCATCTCCAAGGATACCCTCCCAGATCCCCAGTCAGTACTTAAAGCCATAGATGGTACTGACCCCAAGGTGCATGGGGTCTTGTTCTATTTGTAAATGCCTGTGATAGCATTTAACTAATAATGTAGGCACAGGAGGTAAGGACATAAAGACAACCGAACATAGCAATTCACAGTTACAAAAACCATCTCAAACTAAGGAACTGTTTCTGAAACTTTCTTATTTTTGAACTACAGCTGGCCTCAGGGAACTGAAGCCTCGGAAAGCAATGCGGTGGATAAGTAGAGACCCCACCCCCGCCCTGAGTGTTCAATCTAACTGTGGCCAACAGCATTCTCATCATCTTGACCCTAGTTATGATAAGGGACACCTGGGTTCCTGTCTTAACCACTTTCATTTTGCTGTGTGGCCACTGAGCAAGTCACTACCCTCTCTGGTCTCAGCCTCTCGTTCTTACAGGCAGCCTGAAAGATCCATAGGCCTGCACCCTCAAAATTAGATGGTTCAATGTATACAAAGACTGTAGAAGTTTTTTTCTTGGAATGACCCCAGGTACAGTAGCTGTCTCTAGCACTCTCCAGTGACCAGAGTTCCCTCCCCCCAAAACATCCAGGGTGACCCACTCATCTGTCTGCCTTTCTCCTGGGCTTAGGGTACCAAATCAATGGACTCCAACCCTGTTCCAGCTATCAGAGTCTGTACCACCCATGCCGGTCTGTCCCCCAGCTGGGGTTGGATATGTTCCTGGATTCCTGGGCTGGAACCCAAGCTTGCTGTGACAGTACTGAGCGGTCTCAAGCCCTCCAGCCTCCCACCCCACAGTGCTGTCCCCTCCTGACTCCTCTGGGTCATGCGGCAACTGGGAGCCCCAGTGCAGACAGAGCCGACCTTTCCGGGCCACTGTTACCTCCAGTTCCAGACGTGTTGTCTGGAGCCATGGGAATGTGTGTCTGTAGATGACACTCATTCTGAGCCACAGCAAAGACAGACAGACAGACAGACAGACACCCGCATCAGGGTCTACCAGCCCTCTCCCTCCATGGAAGGGGAACTCTCCTTCTGGCCCTAGAAAGGTGACCTGGGGGCTGGCAGGAACACAGCCTCCTGAGACACAATTCTCCACTCCCCTTTTGGACACTGGCTGTAGAGACAGGGCAGAGAAAATCACCCTGTTTCCTGTCTCCAGATGTCCCTCAGGCTCCTGAGAAAGGCAGACACCTGGACAGCTGTGACCTCCCAGGTCCTTGGAGAGCACCAAAGGCAGAGACCTACCCACAATGCCTTCCTGTGCTGACTCCCTGAGGTGAGGCACTGGGGACTACCCATTGACCTGAAGCCCCAGGAAGTCCTGCCCACCTAGCCTGGCCTGCATGGCACTGAAGGAACAAGCCCCTGTGGAGAGGGCTTTTGATCGCTTCAGTGTGGGGAGCTGCACCCCAACCCCTCCTGTGACCTGCCCTTTCTCAGCTGGGCTGTGTGGCTCTGGGCTAGGGTGACTTCCTGCCTTGGGAACACAGGAAACCACATTGTTGGGATCTAAATGGCCTTTTCCTCTAGGACTTAGGTCAGAAAATGCACACACAGCCTCAGCGTGCACCTGACCTGGCTGTAACCACCCCAGGCCTTGGCTCTTCCGCAGGCACCAGGTCACACATCGGCAGAGGCCACAGTGCACAGATGTTTGGTCAAACATTATTCTAAGTGTTTCTGTAAAGTTGTTTTTAAAGGCGAGACTGGCGTGTATATCAGTAGTGGGCTCCAAGATGCGGGTGAGCCTCATCCAATCAGCTGGACACTGAAGAGAAAATTACCCACCTCCCCCAGCAAGAGGAATCTGCCAGCACCCTGTGCCCAAACTTGAACTGCAGTTTGTCCCTGACTCTCCAGCCTAATGGCCATTAGCAAACTAAAACTTGCCACATCCCCACTGTCACACGAGCCAGTTCCTAAAAATCAATTTCTGTCTATCAATATGCCTGTCTACCTGTCTGCATCCTATTTACCTGTCTGCATCTGTCCATCCATCTATCCATATATCAATACATACTTACAATCTACCCTTCCACCCATCCATCCTTCTATACACCCAGAGATCCATCCATCCATCCACTCATCCATCCTTCTATCCACCCAGAGATCCATCCATCCATCCATCCACTCATCCATCCTTCCAGCCTTCTATCCCAGAGATCCATCCTTCCCTCCACCTCTAGCTACACACATTATGTTATCCCTGCTTCTCCAGAAATGCCAACTAGTAAAGACAGAAATCTTGAGGTACTGGGCGCAGTGTGCTTTTGAGGGCACAACAAGAAAAGGCCTCCCAGATCATCTCTCCCAATATGCATGTTCATTTCTTTAGGGATTTGTTTGTTTGTTTGCTGTGTTTTTGTTTGTGTGTTTTTAGTAAAAAAAAAATACAAAATTAAAAACCGAAACCTCTCCATAGCCCAAGCTAGCCTCGACTGAGATTCTTGGCAGGGATCATCACACTGGCTCCCAAAGCTTTACTTTTTGTTTCGATTTACTATTACGAGTTTTTTGTTTTGTTTTATTTTGAGACAGATCACACTCTAATCCCCGCTGGCTCAAACTCATAGCAATCCTCCTGCCTCAGCCTCCTGAGTATTTCCATCACAGGCAAGTACCCATCATACCCTGCTCCCAGGAATTGTCAAATTTTCATTGTTTTAGTCAAATTGCCTGTACAGTTTGCTTTTGTGTAGAGTCTGAAAGATACTAATAAGTCTGACAGTGTGCCACACAGGGCCTCTACCTGAACTGTCTGCTGCTGTCTCTTTAATCCCTGCTGTAATCTGATGAGAAGGTTTGCTATTTGTCCAGTTGTGAGAGGGGAAACTATGAGTCGGCATGTCTCACTAGGGCTGGCTGCCTCCACGGGCGTGTGCTACTCTGAGGAGGCCACATGTGGCTGCTCCCTGCTTCTGGGCTCACCAAAAGGCAAGAGACAGGAAGTAGCCTAAGCTTTGATGCCAGACCAAGTCTACATGGCAGCTCTTGTGCTCCCAAGCTGGCAATGTAGTCTAGTGGCTAGGGCTCTTGACCACAGCTCTGAGTCTATCCATGCTCCTACTGAGGCCCTAAATATTCAGGAGACAAACCTAGTAACTCCTTGGAGAACTCCTACACATCCCTCAAGACCCAGCTTGTATACTCCTTCCCTGCCGGAGACTAACCAGGATATGTTTTCTGTGCCAGGCAGCCCCACCCACACTTCAGTGCCAGCTCTGTCCACGGACTCCATGAACACTTGACTGTCTTCCTGGATATTGGGTAGCTCTTAGTGTCCATACCCCTGTAATGACTAGTCCTAAAGATGGCTCAGCTTGCAAGCATCAGAGGGACCCACAGGTACACAGAGAGGGAAGCAGCACCTGCATTGGGTGAGTTAGCTGACCTTCCCAGCTAGCTGACCTCCCAAGGGAATTTTCCAAGCACACCTCATATCCCTCATTGAGCATCCCTGGTCCAGTCTCCTGGGCTATTGCAGTTTCACCATCAGCCAGCCTAGTCCACCCAATCCCAGGTACTTCTGTCTCTCTGTGTGCATGTGTCTGTCTTTTCTTCATTCCCTCGCTCGCCCAGTCAAATCAAGTCCCAGAAGTCATACAGGGACTTGTCAACCATAGACCCTCTGCTAGAGAACAAGTTGTACAACCATATCTGGTGGCCCTGGATGGATGGGTCGATAGATGGATGTGGATGACTGGATGGATGGATGGATGGATGGATGGATGGATGGATCGAACGATCGATAGATGGATGTGGATAGATGGATGGATGAAGGGAAGGATGGATGGATGGATGGATGAAGGGATGGATGGATGGAGGGATGGATGGATGATGGATGGATGGATGAAGGGATGGATGGATGAAGGGAAGGATGGATGGATGGATGGATGAAGGGAAGGATGGATGGATGGATGGATGGATGGATGGATGGATGGATGGAAGGATGGATGGATGGATGGATGAAGGGATGGATGAAGGGATGGATGAAGGGATGGATGAAGGGATGGATGAAGGGATGGATGAAGGGATGGGCAGATTGTGTGGATAGACAAAAAACAGAAGGATGGTCAGATGGGTAAGATGGATGGAGGGCAGTATGAATGGGCAAATAAGATGGTACGTTCACCTCATGCCACCACAATCTCCTTGTTCTACAGCAGACTTGATCCACGCCTACTTCTCCCACCCCTGGCCCAGTCAAGGCAACCCTACGCCTTCTGCTGAAGTTCACATGTGGCCAAGCCCAGAGCCATCCTCACTCTTCCTTGCTGGACTACTCCTGGATGTCATGTAGCTTGATGGTGTGTCTGGACTGGAGTCCAGGCTTTCCTCTGGCCCGTGGTCTCCTCTGCCTCGAGATTCAGGATGAAACTGGGAGACTCCTATACACATGGGAACCAGGGCCCCTGTCTTTGAGAACTCGTGGACTAAGTCATCATGGAGACTAGACACAGATATCTGAATGCCACAGGAAACTAGGCAGAGATGTGCCCACAGACACACTCCAAATCCTAAAATTCCCTCTTTCCCTGCTCCCACTGGTGCCTCTCAGATGAGGGGGAAACTCCAGGAGGAAGAGAGTGGAGAGCAAGGGGAGACAGAAGCCAATTTATGTGACCTGAAGGTACAGGGCAGAATGGGTCTATTATACAATAAAAATGCAAAGCCTGACCTGCTTAAACCCTCTCCTTAACTCCCCTGTGGAGTCCTTGCTAGAGCTCTTGGGAGGGAGGAGGGCGACGCCATGTGGCTAATCCAGATATTGCATGCATTTTTGTTGCCTAGATTGATGATTCAGTATGGGCCATTCATGTCTTTCCTGGACACACACACACAGACACACACACACACTCATACCTCCACACACAATTGCTTTCCCTTGACCCTTTCAAAGTTCAGATCCAGAATTACCTGCTCTAACCCGACCAGCCAACACGAGACACAATCACCACCAACCTCAGTTTCTTCACTTATAAAGCAAATATAAGACCAGCATCTTACAGATGCTGTGAGTACCAGATGAGATGATGCATCCATGGCGTGTGGTCCTCAGTAAGTGTCTTAGCAATTGTTATGGGTTCTAGTATCCCCCACCTGCCCCCTCTGGGCTGGACACATAGGGAGAAGCACAGGCTGAGAGGCTGGGCAGGAAAGAGCACACACATCCCTTGGCATGGGGAAGGATGCGGGCTGAACCCAGTAGGCCTGCAGCTAAGGGCTGTATCTCTAAGGCAGTGGGACTCCAACAGCTTTAACCAGGGCTTTGGTGTAACTATCTGCACACTCTTCAGACCAGGGAAGCTGCGGGAGACTGGATTGGAGAGGCAGCTGATTGGCTGAGAGTTATAGTGGGAAGCTCAGCGACTTGGCCGCATGGGGACCCTGGTGACAGACAGGACATATGGCTGAAGGGAGAACTGCATCTACAAAAGCAACTGGGGACGAGGGTGTCAGTCACAGGTGCTGATCGCCCTCTAGGATCTGTGACAAGACAGACTTCTTGTCTTGTTTCTGGGACAGACAGGCCCTTCAAAAGCACATGATTATAGTGACTGAAAAAGTCCAGTAGCCCACAGTGACTTGGGGCTGCTTAAAGTCAACCCAAACCACCCAAAAGTGGCTCAGTTTGTTTGCATCACCGCTGATGCTTAGGCACATGCCATTCATGTGCCTTGCATGCACCAACCATGCCCTTTTGCATATCCCAACCGCACATTCCCCATGCCAAACGCCTTCCACACAGCAGGCATGAACCTTTCCACGTACCTTCCACGTGCCCACCACGTTCCACTTCCTAACCGCAAACCTGCAACATGCCAACCGCACATCCTCCACATACCAAACCACACCTGTTACATGCCAACCATGTGCTTTCTGTCTACCCACCACACGCCTTCAGCACACTTCCCACAGCCAGCCGTGTACCTCCATGTACCAGCTAAGTACCTCCCACGCTTCCCAAATCTAACTATGCAGCTTTTCACACAACATCATGCCTTTCTCTCTTTGTTTGTTTGTCTGTTCTCTTTTCAAGACAAGGTTTCTCTCTGTGTCCCTGACTGTCTATAGACCAGACTGGACTCCAACTCAGGAAACTCAGGGATCCACCTGCCTCTGCCTCCTGAGTGCTGGGATCTAAGGCGTGTGCCACCACCGCCCGGCTCCATCCATCATAGCTTGATTTCTAAAGCATCTGCATGACTTTTAAGCACTTGCCACAAACCCTTTACGGGACTCCTCCACCCCAGCCATATGCCACTCACATTCTACCACATCCTACCCCTACACCTCCCCATGCTACCTGCTCTTCCTTCCATCCACATGTTAGGCCTGTGCCTTCATACAATCTCTACCAGGATCATATCATCAGCACCTGCCACACGTCAGCACACACTCCACGTGCTTATCATCTAGGTTTTCAATGCCTCCAACAGATGAAAGACGGGCACATGTGCCCAGCGGTGACCCCACCCACTCCGATTAGATGGATCCATCAACAGCAGCAGCATGCCCTGGGTCCCATCGGCCACAAACCTTTGCAAACACAGCCCTCCCGAGTGATGGCCTGGCGGCAGATGCCACAGGGCTTCACCTTCTTGAAGGCCTTCACCTTGAAGTGGTGAGTCTTGGGGGCCTCCAGGTCTTCTGGCTGTAGGAAGAGAAGCCCGGAGGTCAGTCAGATGAATACTGGGGTCCCGGGAAGGAAGTGAGGACAGAGGAGAAAAAAACTGGCAGGATAGAGAAAAACCAAGGCAAAAGCCCCAGGAGGAAAGAGGTGCTTCAGGGTCAAGAATGGTACAGGAGTAATGGACATTCATCCCAGGATCCCAGACTAGCAGTGTCCATGGACAGGGCCAGGCAGTGACTGCAGACTAGTGCCCAGGGGTCCCCTCCATGGCTCCCATCCATATTTCTCTTCACAGTTACTCTGGTGTTACGATGAGAATTAAAACGCACTTAAGCAACTAGGTTTAAATGTGCAGTTTCATTAGGCAGAGCTGGAGCTGAGTGGCCTAGCACTTGCCTAGCTTGTGCAAGGTCCTTTAGTTACTTCACCGGGACCAAGAGGAGTGCACAGCTTGCCCAGGGAACCTCAGTTAGCACCTCCCACACCACACCAACCACGCGCCTTCCGTGTGCCTTCTACACACCAACGTATACCATCCCATACCGAGGGGATTTCTCTTGTCAGTGAATTAATTCGCTGGATCTTAAACTCTGCAGAAATGGAATTGCCAGTATGCACTGCACTGTGCAGGGCCCCTCGTCCAACATTGGCCTGTTCTGATGGAATGCAGCCGTTTCTTCCGCTTCGCTGCTGTATAGTTTGCCATTGCGTGAGTGCAGCAATTTACCCATTCCACTGTGGGTGGTCCCTCACTTCTCCAGTCCACATCCCAGCACGCCACTTCCCTAGCTTCTCTCAAACTTCCCCCTACTCCAGGAGGTCTCTTCTACCTTTGTTTTTATTTCTATTCTTTTTTTAAGATTTATTTATTTATTATGTATACAACATTCCTTCCATGTGTGCCTGCAGGCCAAAAGAGGGCACCAGATCTCATTATAGATGGCTATGAGCTACCATGTGGTTGCTGGGAATTGAACTCAGGACCTCTGAAGAGCAGCCAGTGCTCTTAACCACTGAGTCATCTCTCCAGACCTTATTTCCTATTCTTTACAATATGAAAATATTCTGGGGATCAAACCCAGAGCCTTGAGCATGCTAAGTGTGTGCTCCGCTGCCAAGCAATGCCCCTAGTCTTATGAAAATATAGTATGTTACATTTTATTTCTTTGTGCCAGTGAACCATATATCCCTGGAACACACAATCCTCTTAAATCCCTATTTGAGACTGTCCTGCCTGTCCTGTGAGAAGAGCAACAGGCTGGCTTCCAGAGCATGCTTCTTTCTTACTTGTCAGCTGTACCTAGGCCAGCAGGTCACACACACACACACAGTCACCAGTTCCCCTCCAGACAGCACTACAAACACATACAAAGTTCTGACCATCTGTCCTGTGTAGCCTCACAAGAGAGCACACAACACTGCCCACTCCGCAGCTCATCCCTACATGAACTATGGACTTCCTGCTCGGGGGACTCCTGGAGGAAGTACTGCATGCCACAATCTCACTCCCCCTCTGTCTCCACTGGTCCTTCCTTGGCAGGGACTGGCCAGGACATAGACACAATCTGGTGACCATTCTGGGCACATGCTGAGGCCAGGCCATGGGCTTTCCGTGTGCAGAGGAATCCTGCTCTCTAAGCAATCCTTCCACTCCTTGTCCCTGTGCCTCTCGGATCTGAACCATGGCTAGAGGGGACAACTTGGTTTGGGAGTGGGCCATACACTTAGCAAACCTGGGACTCCTGTCTGGCAACACTGAGTAGTTCTAGGTGCCACCAAAACACAGAGATGCGGGTAAAATGAGGCTGGGTCAGGGGCAGCAAGCCAAAAAGACAGGAAGAAATAGACAGAAGGAGGAGGAGGAAGCAGACAGAGAGAGACAAGCCGTAGAGAATCAGACAGGGCAGACTGAGATAAGGGCAAAGGAGAAGAAAGGCGCAAGCCACAAGTACACAGAGAGCGAGCATGGATAGAGGCTCACAGTGGAGAGGGAACCAGGAGACAAAGAGGGACAGACAAGGACTAGGATCTCCCAAGGGCCACACCAGGGAAGAGTAGAGCATCAAAACACACAATGACAGCAATGGCTTCAAAGAGCCCATTGTGAGAAAAAATAATAAACGAAGAAGTCAAATAGAATATAGAGTCTCGAAGCCCCTCTCCTCCCCAGGTGTCTAGTCACAGAGGAGGGAGCTGGGTGTGGTGGCACACCTCGAATCCCCAAGTTCAAGGTCAGCCTGAAATAAATAAAGTGGGAGATAGATTTCCCAGACAGATGCCAATCAAGTGTTCAAAGTAAGCCACCGTCACCAGGGCAGGATGAATAGAAGTCGCGCACCTGGGAGGGCTGGCCGCGAACAAAGGGTCACTCTGTGATACTCCTGCCAAAAGCCACAACCTGAATCTAATCGAGACCCAAGCTGAGGCACCGTCTACAAATGAAATGGCCTGGAGCCTTCACAAGTGACAAGGTTATGTAAGTCAAGGGCAGGCAGAGACTCCCAGACAGGAGGAGACTCCAGACGCTGCAGCCAGAAGCACTGGCTGTTTCTGAACTAGATGTCTGTGGTGGCCTTAAGGACATCTCAGGGGCACCCAGTGAAATGCCACAGTATCTGAGCGTTAGATAGTAGTGACATCCCCACATTGTCAACCTCTGATAATGACCTCTGTACCCTATGAAATCCAAGTCCTTGTGGGAAAATCAGGAAGGTATTTAAGGTGGTGTGGGGGATGGGGGCGGTGTCAGTAACTCACTCTCCCAATGTTCAGGAGAGAACGATCTTTGTGTGGTATTTTCAACCCTTCTGAAGCTTGAGACTGTTTTGAAATCAAAGACAGACAGGCAGACTAGGTGAAAGGTTGGGGAAGCAGAGACAAGTCCAGGGCAGAGGTAAAGCAACCTATGAATAGCGTCCGGAGTCCAGCAGCGCCTCCTGGTGGTCATAGTGAGCAGCAGCTCTCACTGAGCCAATCCTGAATACCCAGCCCCACACCTCAAATGCCAACCAGGGGTCTGCTAGTCCAGACAGCTACAGCCTGGGTCCATTGAGGGCCCTCCATTCTGCTGTTTCCCCACCCCCCATTTCCCCAGCTCAGACTTTGGCTGTCGGATTTCCTGATCAATGTTGTCAGACAACCTAGGGAGGGGCCCCAGCCATGGCCTGGGGTAGGGGTAGGGGTGGAACACAGAGGGAACTTGACTTCTAGCTAGAAGACTACGTGAGGTAGGCAGGAAGGAATCCCAAAGTACCCCAATCCCCCTCCTCCTTTCAACTAAAAGAAAAAAATATTTGACATTCCAGCTAACCTTCCCAAACTCCCTGTCCTACACCCTCAGGTCCAACTCTTCTGCCAAAGCCTTATGAAAAGTCCTTTTTCCCAGAGAACATAAAGAGTCCTTACTGCCTAGTGGGCAGGAAGGAGGCGAGTGAAGCCTTCCAGACCGTTAAGAGAATATCCAGGCTCATGCCTGGCTTTGTGATCCTGCCTTCCTGTCCTGTGATGCCTGAATTTATAAACTGCAGTGGACTTGGAAGGCAGATGATGCTCCCACGGCTCTGAGACCTGCTTGGACCGTCTAAGTAGCCCTGGGTGCTCTTTCCTTCCAGCTCTGACAGAAGAACACTGGGCCTGGAATCTGGAGACCTGCTCCCTAGGCTGTGTGGCCTTGAGAGCATCAGTAACCTTCTCTGGGCCCCCAAATACTCAATGCAGTGAAAAGCTTAGGTCTGCAGCAGACAGGGTGAGGGATGAGGGACGCCATGACAGCTTTGAGGAGTACTGGATGTGAGGGACACCTATGGGGACCAGAGTCACGTCTGTCATCCCAGAGGAGGAGCAGGGACTCTGCAAGCCTCAGCATCCCTCACTAGGAAGCAAGGTGTCCAGTGATGCTGTAGAAAGGAACAAGACAGGATGGTGGAGGAGAGAGTGTAGGGCGGGTGAACCTTCTCCTTCTGACACTCAAAGGAAATGTCCCAACCCTGAAGACCAGAGGCAGACCTTGCCACAAGAGCAGGCTGATGTTTGAATCTGGCTGCCACCCTGCCCTCCTTCCCCATCTGGGATTGCTCCTCAGGTCCAGGCAGAGGATGAGAACGAGGCCCATAAAGTCAACAAGCCCATAAACAGTGCAGTGCAGTCCAAGGGCGATGGCTTGTTAGGACAATGATTGCTGCTTTCCTGACAAGCGGCAGACAGCCACATGGGGCACAGCCAGGCACTCCCCTCCCTGGATTAGCGGGCAAGCCCAGAGGCAGAGGGAGACATGGCTACAATGCAAGGAGGGGTGTTGTGGTGGCTCCGGCCCTGTCCTACCTCCCTACAGGCCAGAGTCAGAGCCAGGAGAAGGGAAGGGGTCCAGCTGGAAGCCATTCTACCCTGCCCATAAGCTCCAGCAGTGAGGGCTTTCACAGCCTCAGGCCTCGGCCCATCTCAGACCTTCCCTCTCTCCATTCACCCAGCCAGAGGGTGTGGCACAACTGGCTGGACCATCAAGGGCCCTAGCCAGGCCTTGGTCCTGGTTGGAAAAAGCTGCTTGCAGGCAACTCCCTGCCTCAAGGGGCAGAGAGGCAAAGGGTTGTGTGCTCCAGGGGTCCAAGAGCTTCCCCCACCCACTGTGAGAAAAGCCCCAGTTTGGCCCTTGTCTGTGGCTAAGCAGTTCTGGGTGACTAGAAAAAGACAGAAGTCTTCCTGCCAGAGAGCCAGGCATCCTGGAAGATGGGATGGCCAAAAATTGAGATAAGCGTCACCCTGCCCCTGCCACCTGGCCATCCAGCCCTCGAGATCCCCTCGCCCTTCATCTGGGGGTCTCTGAGCACCTGCCCTTCTCATACCCCTCTCGAGCCCCCAATTAAGGGCCAGCCGTGTTCTAGGTCACCCTGGTGGAAAACTCTGAGTCACTCTGGGATCCTCCCCGTCCTCCCCCACCCTCCCAGCAGCCAGTCGCCAGATCCTGTGACTTTTGCATCCTAATTCTCTCCGCAGACCATCCCTCTCCTGCTTTCCAGTTCTGCTCC